CTTGAGCTTTCTAACTGGAGCTTATTTAGAGGAAATTCAAAGGTGTCATCTAAAACAATTTGCAATGAATTTGAGAACCAGGTTAGTTGCGGGTCTTTTTTTTTACAAGTTTTTTTACGCATTTGTCCAATGTATGAGTCAGCCCTAATTCGAAATCATGTAGTTAAATTTTACACAGTCTGAAATTTTGGATTGTTGCCCGCGTAATTGCCTTCAGAGTTGAGCGTAATGGCCCATGATTAGGCACCTATAGACACGGAATTTGTGAGTTAGGATGAAATTCCATGTTTATGTGTAAATTGAGTTAAGCCATGATTAGGACTGGCCCGAAAGTGAATAATGCCTGCTGAACTGAATTGGACTGATTCTTAGAGTAATTTTGACTGTCGCAGATCTTCTATTTTTTGAGGTATGTTTATCATCGAAATCCCATAAACGGAATTTGAATGTAACTGAAGTATAACTGGTATTTGAAAAAGATAACCGAATTTCTGTTGTTTAGAACTATGATGAAGTAGGCATAACTTGTTTATATGCTGAAGTTTATAAATATCTAAGTATGCTGAAATAGGATTCAAACCTGTTATTTCCTTCTCCGGTGAGGTTTGTATAGATGCCTGCTCTTGCTTGAAAAAGATATACAAGTCTAAGTCCATTAACTGTTCCCTCTCAGGTGATGTTATATATCCTGTATGTTGAAGGAAAAATACAAACTTTTTTCAAGATGTGGGATTCAAAATCAGTTTCGTAGAGCTACGTTTGATACATTATGCTTGGGTTGCATGGTTATTGTACAGCTTTACAGTTGTGGATTTGCCTTAACAGTCTGTCTAGATAATTACGGATTGAGAGAGAGAGAGAGGCAGTTGCACCATTTTACTAGGGAAACCAGCTGAAAAGTATCCTGCTATTTTAGGAAATTAGGGGTGAGCTCTCAATGACCAGAAGTCTATGTAGTAATGCTGTTTTAGAGTTAATTTTTGAAGAATTGGGTAAAAAATGAAAACAAATAAATGCTGGTTGTTTTTACAGATACAGACCATAGGCAAGTTCCCCAGGCTAAGCATCCATTTCCCTCCCCCATCCGATAACGAAGATTGAGAATAGAAGATAACTTGGAGATTTGGTATTTTAAACTACTTCATTCAAGTGGATTTTACTCATGAGATGCATCCTCTTAACACACCCTTACGTGGAGTAAATGCCCAACAAGCGCAGGCTATCATTGTTCGGTCCACCAACCCCCACCAGTGCATCCGAGGCTTCTTCCGTCCACTCATTCACAGCTTCAAATGACTACATCGAGTCCCTAGTTAACTACTTCAAGGTAAGTCCATTAAAAAATTCATCTACTGTGCAAAAACAAGAGTTGCTTTACATTTTCATGCTGCTGTCTTCAACCTTTGGCCCTGTTTAGGCACCTTCATACATCCATTTAATATCATTCTTCGCGTGGGCTGACTTGAACTTGGCTAATCAATTATTGAACGTGTGCCTGTTTACTCCATTCATTTTTTGTGCTAGCAGCTGCCATTCATTTGATAGTTTGAGGTATGCTTGGGTTCAAACTAGCACCTTGATGGCTGATTCGTTCCCCTCTACCCTTATGACTTGTCCAGCAATTATATATATTATTATTTGATAAGTGCTACAACCACTGGCAACGTTTATTGCCTTGCAACAAATACTTTGGCATTTTGTTGCCTTCGGTTATATCACTTGAAGTAAAGTTCATATGCCCAAGTTGATCATATTTTTGTTGGATTCGGCCAGAATAGTAGAAATACTTATATGTGATTTTGGAAAACCTAAGGATTTTGTGGAATAAAAAACACAGACCCCTCTTTTGGTGTGTTTTTCAGTTGTTTCATTTGTTCAGATTAGGAATGCATGCCGCTGTTGTTAATTAAAGGAGGACATTTTCCAGAAATAAGGACAATACTTATACAAGTTCTTCCAAATATAACCTGCTGCTTCACTTGCCACTGCTACATTGTTATTGGAAAAAAAATAGCTAAGTTTTGAGTCACAAAGATATATTTGTCTATAATCTGTAATTGTTGGACAGTTTAATTTCGTTATGCAGTACTAAGAACTGATATGCACTTCCTTTGGTCTTTAAGCTCTAGATGCCTCGTGACCATACCACCGCAAAAGCTCATTGGGATGAAAACATGGAGATGCACTTCTGTATGACATTCGTTGAGTGGAAAAAAAGTGGGGAATGGAATCCAAACATCTCTACCGAGGCAAATTGGATGAAACTGGCTGCCTACCTTAATTCCACTTGGGGAAAACAGTATGGGTGGACTGTCTACCATTCGAAGTACACGTGTTTGAAGAGGATTTGGCGTGCATTTGCCAAATTAAAAGGTTTGCGAGTCTCGACCGAAACTAGAATTAGATAGGACGAGAATAGGAAATGCTTCTTGGCCGATGAATCTCAGTGGACGAATCTGCAAATGGTAATCTACCATCCAAACAAATAATATTTTGACAACAGAATTTGTTTTCAATTTTTTCCTTTGATGCTTAATTCATAACTGCCGGGCTGACTTGTGACTTGTTACTTTATTTGCAATGGAATAATTTTAAAATGCGATTAGTACTTGGCTGCTATGGTAGAATAGGATGAATAGGTACTCGTGTGTTAACTAATAGTAGTATGTCTTGGCTTTATTAAATGTTTTCTCTATGAGGCTTGAAGGATTATTTTTTGTAATTTGACAGGAGAATAAAGACTACAACCAGTTTAGTACCACCAGTGCATTGACAAATATTCGATACTATCCGAGGTCTTCGAAGAAGAAACTGCCACTGGAAGCCAAGCAACTTCAACCTTTGCATCTCCCTCTTCGCGTAGGCCTCGACAGATTCCGGCTACTCATTTTGGAGGGCAATCAAGTTCGCATTTTAGCGATGAATTGCTCACCGATGACCCAGATGTCGCATGCTACGATTGTGCTCCTAAAGTTAGAAGAAAGAGAGGATCGGCCAGCGTAGGGGCTACGACCTCGGGTATCGGATCTCGCCAGAGCAAATCGAGCAGAAGTTTCGACAATCCATTCGTTGAGTGTGCCAACTCGCTCAACAACCTAGCCTCAGCGAAACTGCAAATTAAGGATCGTCGCTCCAACGACTCTGAGAAATACGATGTTACAATGGGAAATCAGGTTGTCGAGTCGTTCGAAGGCCTGTCCAAAGGAAGGAGAGTCACGGTTCTTTTACAACTCCAGGATGACAAATGGTGTAAGACTTTCCCGACCATGGCACGCGATCTTCAGGAGTATTGGATTAACTCTCTGCATGTTCCCGAGGAGAAGGGGTCAGGTGAAGAGTAGTTAACAGTTTAAAAAATGATTTCTGTGAAGTGAGCATGTGGATTTTATCTATTAACTCTTAGGAATTTTTAGTTGTTGCTATTAACTATCTGGATTTTTTCCTTTCCAGTTCTGTGGATTAATTACTACTTTAATTTCCAAGGCTTGAATGAATTATTTGCAATTGTGGTGCATGCAAAAAATAGCTTGTGGTATTTTTTTGGCTTTCTTTGTCGAAGTAAAGTGCCTTTGTTTGGTCCAATAGCGGTGCATTTCTGTTCTCATATTATATTAGTGGTGCAACATGATGCTTGGATGTTGTTATATTATAAAGGTCATTTTCCAGTGGCGAATTTCTGTTGTTATACCTATATGATGGTGTCATTGCTTGGTCCATAAAATAAGAATGATCTTCAGAACTTGCTTGTGGTTGGCTGCTATGTTATATTATAGCCTGAACTTATCGCTTTGCATGGACAGCAGGAGGTCAGGGTGCCTTATATGTTTGAACCACGAAAACTAGCTACAGGATGTAGCTCAAACGTTTATATAAGTGCCTTATATTAGTGCCTTTATAAGTGCCTTATATTAGTGTCTGCTATTAGTGCCTTATATTAGTGCTTATATATGAACCACGGAAACCATATTAGTGCCTTACGTGTATACCCAGAGTTGTTTTCATCCTCTTTTGAACTGCAGCTTTCTAATGTTGCGCTTGCGGACATAGACAAGAAATTCAAATATGTTGGCTGGAAAAAAAGGACATGCACTTTACTTGTACAAGATTGTGAGAATGCACAATTCTTGAATCCCTGAAAAATGAATACGTAGTAACTGACTAATAGAGAGATCCACTTTACTCACCATTGTACTTCAAATGGCAAACAACAACAGAAGGCTGTAGATAAGTAATTATTAAAAGTAATTTTATGAAAATTTGGGGAATTTTTTGAAATTGTATGCTTATATTTTAAATTGTGGTAACTGTATGTTTATATTTTAAATTGTTCCAATATGCCTAAACTCGGTTCCAATTGGAGTAAAAAATTTCAATAAAACTCCTAAATTATTTACTTTTCCTTGATACCAAACTTTTCTAACCAAATGCATCATTCGTTCAAATAGGAATGATACACATGGGATGCCAAATAGGAATGATCCCAAAGTGCCAAGCATTTGTCCTATAGTACTGCAAATGGAACATGGGATGAGCAGCTTGCTGTCCTCGGTAAAAGTTAGAATGTATCCTAATATTATATTAAGAAATTGGACAAGTACTTTGTCCATAGCAACAGATTTTCCTACTATGTAATCTCATATAAGATTTTCGTTATGGCTACTAGCGTGTGTGGGGACGGCTCTTTGTGATATGAAGGGACTTCACGTACTCTCTTCACTATTGACATCCACATGAGTCTTGCTTTCTCACATGTATTTTTGCAGAATCAACATATTCGTGGAGGCAATCGTTGGACAGGCGAACTGACAAGCGTTCAAATAATTTTCGCCACAGTTAGACGTACCAGCGAATGCTTTTATAAGCTTTCACTGGCAATATAAACCAATCGCTCCTACCCTCACCCTCAAAATTTCTTAAGAATCGCTCCCCATAGCCTATAACCTGCTGTTACTTTTTCACGCATTTTATATAGTACTTCGTATTCCGTGCTTAACTTCAACATGTATAGAGATGCAACTAGTTCATCCTCAGATGAAGACGATCTTCTATTTGCAGCCGATGCAGCCCTATTGTTCGGTCTAGATGCTGAACCAATCAGAGGTCCTATCCAGAAGGTTCCATGCAGAACATCAGCTTTATCTGGCAGACAATGGTTTGAAGAACTGATGTCAGGGCACTACACCCGAATTATGGATGCAACGAGGTTAAGCGTAGATTCATTTATGAGATTGTGCAACATATTGGCCGATTGTGGATTTGTTCCCCAGCATCATCAAAAAAGGGTGACGATAGAGGAGGCACTTGCGATGACTTTAGTTATGATGAGTCACAATATGCGGATGCGCATGATTGTGGACCGATTCAACCACTCGCTGGAGATAGTGCATCGGAATATTCATGAAGTTATCAAGGGTCTATGTACATTTGCGCAATTCATCATCACTCCAAGGCGCCAGGATGAAGTCCATCCAAAAATTTTCAATGCTACCAGATTTTATCTATGGTTTGAGGTATGCTTGGCTAAAGCTTGACGTGGATGCATGGTGCATGGAATTTATGCCCCAAAGTAGTTCATTTTACATCCCTATATAACCATATTTGTTATAGCTGAAAATCCACTGGCCAAGCATTACTCAAATTATTATTCCCATGATATCCAGTCAGATGTTAAAAAGCTTAAATTAAGACCCCTCATGTGCTACAAGTATAAAATTAGTGTACTACCTACAGGATGTTTTTGACAACTATTACTGGTCCAACGATTAATGAACTATTTTAGCAAAGTCACATGATTCACCTTATACATTTCATCATCATATTTGTTCACATGGCAGTAGTACAAGGTTGAAGAAGTTTGTGAATAGAATCTCTTCACTTTTACTCTTTCTAAATTTTTTAAGCATATTTTGTTTGTTGGAAAAAACTAATAATATTAATTTTGTGAGTAATTGCTGTAATTCATTAAATTCGAAATAATGAAGAGAATTTTTTGTTTTTTATAAAGGACGCAGTTAGGACCATTGACGGGACACATATACCCGCTTCTGTCCCGAGTAGACGACAGGTGGCATACACAAATAGATATGGAGTGCAGTCAGTTGTATGTGATCATGATATGAGGTTTGTATACGTGTATGCAGGTTGGGAGGGAAGTGCCCATGATGCTCGTATTTTGGATGGGGCTCTAACGGGCCCAAATCATTTCCCAATGCCCCTCCGGGTATGCGAGTTACACCATTGTTCTTTCTATTTAGCATTAATTTCACATTACTAATTGCGCATTTTTGAAAATACGTTTGGTATAGGCAAATACTACTTGGCTGATTCCGTGTATCGAAATTTACCCAATTTCTTACCACCCTATAGAGGACGCCAAGCGGATGTTAGTGGTCGTAGAAGGGGGAGATTTGCCACCGCCAAAAAACTTTTTAATTACAAACATTCTATTCTATGCAATGTCATAGAGCGAACATTTGGGGTCCTTAAGAGGAGATTTGCTATCTTGCGGGGCGCCATACCCCACTATATGATGACTGCTCAGATAAACGTTGTTATTGTCTGTTGTGCTGTACATAATTTCATTAGAGATCAACAGCCGAATGACTATTATTTCGCCAACCCCGATATAGGAGATCCAGACACAAATGGTGCAATTCCTCCCTATCCGGAGATACATCCATTACATTCCCCTCCCGAAGTGATTAACCAATGGATTGGCATGAGAGATGCAATGGCCAATCATATGTTCAGTACCTATAGAAATACACGCCATCGTTAATTCAGATATAGGTGAATTTATATTAATCTTTTGTTTAAATGCTAAGTTAAATAAAAAAAACCCCTTTTTAGTAGTACCGATTTACGTTAATTATGGGAAAGGGGTATGTCTTGCCTAAGTAGGGTGCATATTTAATATCGTTTGATTCTCATTTCCCTTCCGTTTGAGTTGTTTTACACCTGCTTATATAGCTGTCTTCAACCTCTTGTAAGCACTACGGTAGGTATGGCTTCAAACCTGTATTTTTATCACGCGAACCGAGACACCAGCCAAAAAACATGTGCATGCTTGTTTAATTAACCACCATGTTATTTTATTATATGTTCCATGTTCAGTGCGCAAATCAGAATTTCAAATCAGACACCTAACTAATTTTCAAACTGAAGGGTTCCATCGTTTGACCAGGTAAGCAAATTAGGGCATGGAATACTTCAAGGAAAATGGGTCCCGTATGTCTCCATAGAATTTACCATCCGACACTTACTCCTTTCTGCCAACTTCTTCCATCTTAAATGCACGTCATTTCACTACAATAAATGGGTCCCTTATGTTCCAATAAACTTAATCATGCAAGTCAAAAATCTAAGGTAAATTATGAAAATTTGGCCAATCCAAACGTATCCAATGATTTTATCCTTTATTGTTTGTTATTTATCTCTAGTTATTGCTGCTTGTAGAAAATAGTAATTTTGTTAGTGGCAGCATATGATGTACCAAATAATGTAATGATTTTAGTTTATGAAAAAATTTCAAATTTTGTCATGGTTTGTATTCCTTAATGAAAGAAGATAATAACTATACAACCTGTTTACTCATGAACCCTTACTAATTTGGATAGTCATAATATGATAACCACAATCCAATATACGGCATCATAAAAAAGAACAATAATGCTAATAATGTCATTACAAATAACTAACAACGATCCCAATAATGTTCAAGGATTAAAAAGTTGCATCACTTACAAAACATGTTAATCCATTACAACTTGTTTACATCGACACAAGTCCTAAAAATAACATCCTAAATTCCTGATCCTAATGTTTCTTAGATCTTTTGGATCGAGAATTGGGGTTGTTATCACTAACTGCAGCAGTGCTGCTTTGCTGAGATACTTGATGCACTGATGCTTCTCTGGTTGGGGCTGAAGTGGTAACTATTGTTGCCCCTCGCTAGTTATTGCTTGCTGGAGCCTGCAACCAAATACAAAATTTACTGCTAGAATAATTATCAAGAGTACATAGTGCTGAAAAATTTATGCACTTAAATGTACCTTGTACAACTTTGATTTGGGATGAGGAGGTTCTTTACAAGTTCTCTATTATGGCCAGCTTTTAAACATCTCTTATAGTATATTGTCAACCCCTTTTTGGAAGCTCTTAGTGGATCTCTCGGTTCATCAGGACCTCTTCTCCTAAGTTTTTTAGGTCTCCCAGGTTGTTTCTTCACAAATGGTAGATTTAACAGCTGTATTCCACTATCAATCCAGTGATCTTTGGATGGAACAGCTCCAATGCTATAAGCATATGCCCTCAAGTATGCCTTTTTACTATAGCACTCATCGACATAGTTTTCAACCTTCATCCGCATGCTTTGAATGGCAAAAATAGCATGCACACATGGAATTCCAGTCAATTGGAATGCATCACATGAATAGCTTCTACGTTGTAAATTCACAACAGAGGTTCTGTTGAAACCATCAACCTCAAATGAGTCAATACCATCAAATACAGCAATACAATGCCTGCTCTTCTCTACACTTTGGCTAGCTTCTCAACAATGTTTGGATAGAATTTGCCTCCATATTTCTCCATGCCTTGTTTCTTCAATGTCAATCGTTGCATTAACTTTCTTCTGAAAAATTCAAGAAGAGTCATAATTGGCTCGTCTCTTGCTTTCAAAATGCAGTTGTTGAAACTCTCATTTAGGTTGTTGACTAAAATATCAGCCTTAGCAGCTATTCCATAATATGCTCTAGACCACAAGTGATATGACAGCCTTTTTAACCAAGAAGCAACAGTAAGGTCCTCTCCATTTTGTGGCTGAGATATCTCCAAAGCATTCAATGCTCTCTTGAAATCATCAACATTAGTTGCTGATGTAGTAACCCAAAACAATTCCCTCAGTTCACTGTTTTTGAACTTTGCCTTAAAATTCTCAAACAGATGCTTATGGCAAAATCTGTGTTCTGCACCAGGAAATAACTCCTCTATAGCATGTACTAGGCCTTTTTGCCTGTCAAAATGAAGGTATAAGGCACTACATTGCCCCTTCCAATATGAGAAATCAGCTCCTTCAAAAATCAAGTCCAACTATTATAGTTTTCTGCTTCAACAATGGCAATGGCTGTAGGAAACATATTGTCATTTCCATTCTTTCCAAGTGCTGCTAACAGCTGACCTCCAAAGGGACCCTTCAAAAAGCAACCATCTAGGCCAATGATTGGTTTACAACTTGCAAGAAAGCCCTTTTTAAGAGCACCCAAGTCATAGAACAGTCTTTGAAATGTTGCCCTTTGTTCAATAGACCTCCTGTTTATTTGTATAGCTATATAACTGTCTGAATTTGACTGTCTAACTGTAGCAGCATAATCCCACAGCCTTTCATATTGCTCCATATCACAACCTTTGATTGTCTCCCTTGCCTTTCTCTTAGTCCTATATGCTTTTTTGCTACTTATATTAACCATGAATCTTCTTCTGGCATCATTAATATAAGGGCAAATTATCCAATTGGCCCTTTAATTCTTTGTCTAGGTAAAATTAAGCCCCTCATCTATTTTTTGCTGACTTTAAGCCCTTGAACTTGTAAAAGTGAAAAATCGTGGCCCTTTTAGCCAGTTTCTCCGATTTTGTAACCGGAGAACCAATTCACACGAATGCAAGTGTGATTCTTCAAAGGGCATTTTTGTCCGCATATTCTAAACAAAAAGGGCACAACTCCTTCACATTCCCTCTATTTTCCTAACCCAACCCAACTGCTAGTCGAAACTTCACAGCAACAGCCTTACCCATTTTCATCTTCTCTTGAGGATCTTTGCGGAGGTAGAAAAGCAAGAGAATTAATTCCTACTTGTCAGGTTTGGGTATCAACGACATTGAAGCAACAATGGAGGGGTGGCAAATCAGGCCAAAAAATGAATACTTTGATCCTGTCCTCGCTTATGGTATGTATATTCGTTCGAACCTTTAAATGTGAAATAGGTAGCATATTTAGTGGTCGGATGGGTGAAGAGAGTAAAATTTTGGTGGTGGGGGTTACTAAAAGTGACGTGCCAGTGGTCCTAGATGTGGGGGTATGGTGGTAGGCACCTAAGTTTGTTGTTTAGTTGTTCAAAAGTGTAGGGATTTACGAATAATTAGCATTTCATTAAAAGTTAGAACTTTTTAATTGTTTAATTTCGATTTAAGCATTACATTAGGGTTACTTTTTTAAAAAGCATGTGAAAAAGAAATTAAAATTTTAATTAATTATATTTGAATTTGAATAGTATATTTATCTGCATTTGTTGTAGCCCAACTTGTATTGAAACAATATATTCATATTGATATGCAGATCCAAAATGTGAAATATTTAGCATAAGATTACACCATGGGGAAAAATAAATTGGAAAAATTATGTCAGTTATAAGAATGGAGAAGTGGCCTACATAGATATGTGTGATGCTGAACGTATGTCAATCCATGAGTTGAATAAAATGGTTGGAAAAGTTGGTCATCGTAATGCAGCCATTTTGTACTATTACCTTGAACCAGTTGCAGACATGAGGACTGGTTTGAGAGAATTGTCTACTGATACCCATGTTAGGACATTCTGTGACTGGGCATATAAATTCAAGGTGATGGAAGTGTATTGCCATCATCTGACAGATCAAGAAATTGAAGAACTGAAAAATGCTGTAATAATAGAGTCACCAGACAAGGGGAAAAAGAAAACTGGAGTTGTCATAGAGGAAGTAGATGAGGAAGAATGCATAACTAGATATGTAGGTACTGAGAAGAGTAGTAGAAGGGATTGTATGGTTGGGAATGTAGGGGGTAAAAAAATAGCAAAAAATAGTCAAAGGGATAGTAATGTTAGGCCAGCAGAAGGTATAGATACGGTTGAAAAGGTAGGAGGTGAAAAAACAGCAAAAAGCACTCATGCAGCTAGTAATGTTGGGACCGAAGAGGGTGAACATGAAGCTGACTATGGTGGGAGAAATTTCTAATTTTGTGATGAATTTTAAAAAAATTCTACAAAAGGGGTGATTTTGATTGGGTATTCCGTAGGGGGGGTCTTCGCATTTTGCGAATGCGAGCTCTGCTGAGCTCGCATTCGCAAAATGCGAGCTCTGCTTATTGAGCTCGCATTCCACGAATGCGAGCTCAATAGAGCTCACGCTGATATTTTTTTTTTTTTTTTGGGCTCTCATTAAATTTTTTCCAGAAAATAGTAAGAGCTAAATAAAATTTTTCAAATAGCTCGCATTTGATAAATTTGATCTCCAAAAATTGTATTTAATTTTTTTGTTAGATTTCGCATTTATAAGTATGACGTTCAGAAAATTAAATTCAAACTTGCTAGAAAAAAAATTTAAAATGAAATTTACGAGCTCCCACCAAAATGTATATTTTTCAGAAAATATTGTTTGTTTTGTAGAATTTGCCTTTACTCTACTAAAATCTTATATTAAAAGCTCTACTAAAATCTTATATTTCGGAGAAATGTTAAAGAAATGTTATTTAAAATCTGTAATTAGCAGATGAATAAATTTTTTTATTTTAAAACTTGCACGTGCCTAAAGTCATCAAATATGTGTTCTAAAAAAAAATCATATTTCTTTTATATTAAAAAAAATTGGTAATTGTACGGTTGAAAATACGTTATTTTATTATAATACATTTAAATGGTGGAAAAAGTACACATGCATAGTTCTTTCTATTTCATATATCAATGAAAAAATAGAATGAAATTGTTAACATGTAAGGTATTGACTATATTTTATGAATAAAATACTA